CGGTGAAAGCCGATCCGGCGATTCACTGCGCAAAGTTGTTGTATTTCCTCAGCAACCAGCACGGATCAGCTCCAGGCATGACGAAGCAGATATCGTCCTCTTTTGGAAGGCCAAACAAAGTAGTTTCGCTTTCACAACGAAACACACAGCGCCTTCACGACGGCGGCAACACGGCGGCGGCAACAACAATACTACAGCGAGAATAAAAGTTACGCCTTCTTTCTTTGCGTGAACATTTGGGTGGCGTTATGCAAATCTTCCCACATAGTGATGTAGATATGTGGGGGCGTGTTAGAACGAGCCGTTTTAGGTAGGCGTGGCTGACTCTTAACTTTTATAAAGAATATCTCTTTGGATTTGAGACTTTAGTCTTTGCAACTTTACAGATCTTCTTTATGCACCAAGAGCTTGTAACACTCCAAAGGGAAAGGAAAAATTGAAATCGCATCATATGACCCCTTTAAACTATTTTAAGTTGCTAAATAATAATCATGGTTTGGCTCTTTAATATTTGTCTTTAATATGCTAAATACTCATCTTACATTTTACATCATCTTACATTACAAAGTTATAATTTAAATTTTTTGGATGGTAATAATCAATGTCAACACTCACTATTCAATACAACTCTTCTCCTATAAGCTGATTAATTTTTAAAAAGATAACCTGGAATTGTTAGGAATGAATTGAGTTCAGCAGAAAATAAATTAAACATGTTAAATGTCCAAATATCCATCACGTTTCACAATCTTACTGGTTTCCAACTGACTCATTTGTCTTGTTAGAACTTGCTTAAACCCAGCAGTTCGGCCCGTGACACATACCGGCAGAAATTCCCTTCCTCCCCCTCTCACTTTAAGACACACACACACACACACACACACACACACACACACACACACACTCTGAATCAAAGAGATTTCTTTATCTAAAGACTTTTCACACAATGAGAGCTTATAACGAGATATGGGTCTTAATAGGTGTAGTACAACAGATTAAGGGTGTGTAGGAGTTGTTTTGTGTCATCATGTTGTCTTCTTAATAAAGAGAACTTACTCCATGCTTACAATAGAATTGGAATTGGAATATGACCTTTGTGTGTATAATCATTTGTACACCGATAAATAATACAAAACCATTTGTGTTTTTGCAGATGATTGCTGTGGTAATGGATGTTTTCACAGACGTTGACATTTTCAAGGATCTAATAGAGGCTGGATTTAAAAAGAAAGTAGCTATATACATTATTATAGATATTGCAGCTATACAGCACTTCCTAAATATGTGTGAGAGAGCTAACATGCACAGAGGACACCTCAATGTGAGTAGAAGACACATGCATTAATGTCTGTTTTGTAGACTTTTCTTAAAATGAGAAAATATGTAGATTGTGTGTGTGTTAGTGTATGAATAACAATTTGTGTTTGTAGCATCTTCGGGTGCGATGCGTCGGTGGTGCCGCATTCTTTACATGCTCAGCTCAGAAGGTGCATGGCTCGTTGAGTCAGAAATTCATGTTTGTGGATGGAGACCGTGCTGTGTCCGGATCATACAGGTTTGTTTTGTGCGCTTAAATGTGTGTTTGTACATATACATGAAACAGTGTTTCATAAATGTTAGTAAAAACTGTCTGCCTTGTAAATTGCATGTTCAATTCGGTATGGGTAAGAGAATCTTTCAAGAACCATAAACTCAAAGCAGGAACAGTCTTAACTAAACTAGAAACATCACTAATCTCACCCAAACATCTAATAGAGAACATGGGAAAACATTCAATACACAATGGCAAATTAAAAGATAATAATTTACCAGGACGTAACATGGTATCAAAACAATCAAACTAGAAGCTGAATAAAAAAAAGACTAGTCAAACAATAATCAAATCACAAGACAGACCTAATAAACCAATCATATGGCATGAAATGCCAGAATACCAAAAGAAAAGGGAAGTGTGAACAGACAAAACGAGAACAAAAAAGCTGGTGAGTGAGCTATTGTCACACAACTGAAAAACATGCCATCACCTCAACAGTGGTGGTAACACACTCTAAGATATTTTGATTTGCTAGTTTAAATGACATTTTATGTGATTGTGCTGTGCATGTTATTTGTTTATTCTCTTTTCTGACTTGCGGCATCTTTATGTTTCAGTTTTACATGGACAGCTTCTCGTTTGGACCGCAACGTCATTACAGTGCTGACGGGACAGGCTGTTGAAACTTTTGACAAGCAGTTCCGCGAACTATACCTGAACTCTCGTGGAGTCAATCTAACCAAGATCCCATTGGCGGACCCTCCAGAGCCCGACCCTGCCCCAATCGCTGTTCCTCCCCCTGTTCCTGTAACTGTTGCAAGAAAACTAATTAACCCCAAATATGCATTACTTAATATAGATTCAGCAAGCAAAGCCTCTTCAGACAAGGCTAGTGCCAAGAACAGTAACTCCAAAAAT